TTTTTTGGTGCTAAGCAGAAACATTTTCAAAAAGGAACCACACACAGCACCGTGCAGAGAACCATTTAAGCATGCACATGATTCTTTGAGCGTTCGTGGTTCTATATAGAACAAATGTTTTTACTAAAGAACCCTTGAAGAACCATCTTCTTAAGAGCGAGCTGCACTGACTGTTCACATGCGAGATAAAACAGAACTCACAGTCTAATTACACTCTTATGGTTCTTCAAGTGAAGACAGTGGCTCTATTTAGAACCATTTGCATGCTTAAATGGTTCTTTGCCATGTGAAATGGTTCTTCAGATTGATAGAAATGGAGAACGTGTTGCATATGGTTCCATATACCACCAGAAAGTGTTCTTCTATTGTTATAAACTCGACATTGTAACAAAATCAGAAGAACCTAGAACCATATAGTAGTAAAGCAGAACCAGTAGAGCCATATAGAACACATTCTCTATCAGTCTGAAGAACCTTTTCACCACGCAAAGAACCATTTGATTATGAAATGATTCTATCCAGCACTCAGAGTTCTAAACAGAATTATGGTCTTTACTAAAGAACCCTTGAGGAACCGTCTTTTTAAGAGTGAAGCTGTAGTGACAGAGCTTGGAGTCTAATTACACTAATTATACTCTTATGGTTCCTCAAGTGTTCTTTAGTGAAGACACAGTTCGATTTACAACCACAAGAACCATTTGCATGCTTAAATGGTTCTTTGCATGATGAACCTGCTCTTCAATTTGGTGAAATGGTTCTTCAGACTGACGGGGAATGTGCTGTACATGGTTCCACACAGCACCTTTTTGAAAAGGGTTCTATATAGTACTGAAATGGGTTCCTCTATTGTTACTAACACATTCAACACATACACAGCACGTTCTCCATCAGTCCGAAGAACCATTTCACCATGCAGAGAACATTCGGGCGTGTAAACGGTCCTCACGGTTGTGAACAGAACCCCTGTCTTCACTAAAGAACCCTCCTGTGTGAGAGTGTATCGGACTTTTTGAGCTGCTTTCTGTGAGTTCTGGTACGGAGGGTCAGCGTTCCAGTTACCTGAGCGCAGGTAAGGCCAGCGCGGCCAGGTCCCGCAGGGTGTCCGCGGAGCTCTGACCCACACAGAGGCCCAGCAGCGCGCAGACGGCCGGCAGCAGCTGCCCGCTCTGTCTGCTCTGCGGGTCCTGCCTGGAGATGGTCTTCAGGAGCGGCACACACTGATCCCAGATCAGCGCCTGCAGCCGGATAGCCAGTCGCTCTGAGCGCTCCCCGCTCCGGATCAGCTCCCCGACCAGCGCGGACACAGACTCCACCCTCTCCGGCTCAGGCAGCGCGGAGCCCGGCCAGCGCAGCGCCTCGAACACCGGCTCCACATCGGGGCAGCGGGAGAGCAGAGCGCTCAGCAGGAGGGAGGAGGAGGAGGAGGACATCATCAGCAGCTCCACACACTCTGCTCCACACACTCAGACACACAGACACCCACGTGGCTGGTGTTTTCGTCGCGCTCTTCTTCTTCTCGAGCTTTGAGCGCAGGATGGCGGACTGCTGCCCCCTGCAGGCCACGGCGAGATTGTTCATAGAGCTCCTTCATTCCCTTCATTCCTTCACTTTAGTTACATTTAGGGAATCATATGATCGTCAAAGAGGGGGGTGATTATTATTACCCACCCCTAATTCTTCAGTGATATGAAGCTGAAGTCAGACATTCACCAGATTATTGGGTGAATTTTCCCGTTCCACCTTGAAACCCACAAATGTGAGAATATTTCTCTGTTAAAAATGACAATAATCACTGTTTTATCTTAGTTTAATGTCGTTTCAGTGTATTATGGTCCTTTTCTTCATTACAAGAATAAAAAATCGCTAGCAGTGCTGACGCCTCAGTAGCTTGCGAGCTAATTTTTCCGGCTGTATTCAGGCTGCTGAAGGTCACCGAGCTCTATACTCCGTTAGTACGTTAACGAGCTCAGTAAGCGTAACTCTCCTGTATGGTGTGTATTATCGTCGCCATCCTAAGTCTACCAGAGTACAGAGTTTCCCTGTCCACTGCCCTGTGCGTCTGGCTGCTCATCTGCGGTGCTCCGTTCCACCGCTGCAGAGAGAGAGAGAGAGAGAGAGACAGAGGGGGGGGAGAGAGAGAGAGAGAGAGAGAGAGAGAGAGAGAGAGAGAGAGAGAGAGACAGAGGGGGGGGAGAGAGAGCGAGAGAGAGAGAGAGAGAGAGAGACAGAGGGGGGGAGAGAGAGAGAGAGAGAGAGAGAGAGAGAGACCGACAGAGAGAGAGACAGAGTGAATGGAGCTAAATGGAGCTAAACGGCTAAAAACACAGTTAAATAGTCTCTAATCTCTCAGAGCTTTCCTTTCATTCAGACAGCAGAAGAACTAAACTGACTACAACGGCACAGAGAACTCACCTGGACGATCCCTCACTACAGCAAACAGACACCATCACTGATACTGAGAGCTGATTGGTTAACATCACTGATACTGAGAGCTGATTGGTTAGCATTACTGATACTGAGAGCTGATTGGTTAGCATTAGTGCTAGCCTTTCAACTCTACTGGCATTCATTGAAGACTCGCTCACAGGCGCCCTCTGCTGTTTTTCAGTCACATGCCTGCTAATATGACCTGATATACAGATTCTCTGGCTGGATTTCATTTTAAGGGAAATCACCATAAAAACCACAATCATACAGCAGTTTAATGAAAGTATATGTCTTTATTTCTGATATTAATCGTTCACACTGTTCTTTCCTTTCACTGAAAGGGGAGCGTTTGGGCTGAAGAGCAACAGACTCAACACTGACTGTACAAGACTGTAAACATGAGATGAAGAGCAGAGAATGGTCACTCCTGTTCAGACTGACAACATAATACCTCCATAGTGTTTTACCCACAGGAGAATTCCACCACTTTTTCAAAATTTCTGAAAAATTTGAGATGTAAACAGTCATGCCGAGTGGTTTGGTGTGACACGCTTCAACTTCTTCACAGTTGTGCTGATGGGAACCAGACGTCTGATACGACTCAAAGCTCCCTCACTGAAAGCTTTTATGCAGAATTTGCTGCATTCGCCTACATCTGTAACACAATTAGACAAGCAAGGGTGTCTGCAAAATACCCAAAAATGCCTAAAATGTATTTAAAACATGCTTTAATAGTGGAGAGACACATGCAGGGTACTGTGAGGCAAAATAGTCCCCAAAGAAAACTTATTATTTCAGATTTTCCACTATTTTCCATCGTCAACATTCCATATAAACTCAGAAGACTCGTGTAGGTTCACTGGTGGTTCTGGATAGTAAATAAAATGTCTATATTTGTGTTGTAGTCATGGCGACCCCTGGTTCCTATCACCACCACTGTAATGACATCAGAACCATTTCACACCAAACCACTCTGAACCACTCATCTCACACACTGAGTTATGGAGGGATTTTGAAAATTGGTGGACTTTCCCCTATAAGAGGGTAGCACTTAATTAATCAGATGAATTTAAAGTACCTGCAGGTGCACCTGATAAGGCAGACACGGGGTTTAATTAACAAAAAGAGGCTTTGTTTGTATAATTTCATAACAGTTCATCTGGGTTCACCACCTGAACAGAAGTTCATATTTAGTATCATTTATGAGACTCTGTGGAGAGACAGCATCGTTACGGAGGGTCTTATTTAATAGAGAAACACTAGAACTCCGACTGAAATAACCATGCAGTGTGTTTTCAGTTTTCCAAGGAGGAGAAAAGGGTAAAGCTCAGTAAAACACCCACAGCCTGCACTCAGAGAACGTGGCCTACATTCCCCGCACAGAGTAAACATACGCAGGAGTTCACAGAATCACATAAAGCTCCTCTGTGTGCCGTCAGTCACACACTGAACGAGTTCATCAGCGGAGCCTCCGGCTGGAATCACTCCAAGTTCAGTTACTTCTGTTTGGGGGTCCTGTGGAATTTCATGCCTCAGTAGGAAATGCGGAACACTTGAGCTCCATGAGCCGCTGTACGGAGCTCCCTGCTGCTCTGTAAATGCAGTTTATGTACAGAGCAGCTACGCTGTGAAACACCAGCTTCAGAAACATCGTCAGAGCAGAGACTGACAGCTGCTGCATGATCACCCTGATACTGTGAGAAGCGACGCATCCTCCATTCCATCACTTCTCCAAAGTTTGGAATATTTTATTGGTGTTATTATGATGCCGTGATCCATACATACATACATACATACATCATCTAAACCGCTTATCCTTCTGGGTCGCGGTGGGGTGCTGGAGCCTATCCCAGCTGTCATTGGGCGGAAGGCGGGATACACCCTGGACAGGTCGCCAGTCCATCGCAGGGCAGACAGACAGACAGACATACACAGTCACACTCACTCACACCTAGGGGCAATTTAGCATGTCCAATCAGCCTGACTGCATGTCTTTGGACTGTGGGAGGAAACCGGAGTACCCGGAGGAAACCCACGCAGACACGGGGAGAACAGGCAAACTCCACACAGGAATGACCCTGGTCGCCCGGCCGGGAATTGAGCCCAGGCCCTTCTTGCTGTGAGGCAACAGCGCTACCCACTGCGCCACCGTGCCGCCCTGCCGTGATCCAGTCAAACTAAATCCTACAGGCTGCACCGACTATACTTTTATATTTGTTTGCATTTTAATGGTTTGGTTGAATCTTGGAGGCTGTGGAGGCTCCTGTGGTCGGCTGCGAGTAGCAAAAGGCTGGGAGGCTGTGTTGCAGGAGATCCTGCAACAAACTTTAAACAGGAAACTTGAAGCCACTGATATTTCTGCACAGTTTAATTACTGAGATGTAAACAGGGCGGTTCAGAGTGGTTCTCCGTTCTAGAGAAACTTACAGCGTCTCAAATGTTCACAGTGGTGGTGATAGGAACCAGACGTCCACCTCCCTCACAGAAAGTTACTACAGTAAATGGTTATGAATTCACTGCCTGATGTCTGAGACACTGTTTTATGATAGTTTTGAGAAGATTTTGACTTTCATTACATTCTATATAAACCACTCTGAATCACTGTGTTCACGTCTCAATGACTGAACTATGATGAATTTTTAAAAATCGGTGGAATTCCCCTGTAAGTGGTGCTTCATTGCCTGCAGCACATGCTTTCTAAACACCTCTTTGATCCTGAGGTCGCAGGTCATCACCGTCACCCTCCTGATCCTTTGAGCTGGAGGCTGGACTGTGCAAACAGCGTCCGTCAGGAACAAATACTCAGCTCAGGATTCTGACAGCTGACTGACCGACAGCCTCACAGTGAAACAGTGTAACATCAGAACATTAAGAGGCTCATTTTCTCATTATCTGAGTGACTCCACCCTCACAAACAGGGTTCCTCAGAGGTTCTCCGTGGTTCTCAGCTTGCGCTTATGGTTCTTGGGGAAACAACTTTTAGATCAGGATCTTTATACATTGAAAAGGTTCTTCACACTCTCACTAAAACCACCACGCCTCCACTGAAAGGTTCTAAAGTGGTTCCTCTATGAGCTGCACCAAAGAACCCTCTCTGTACGGTCTCCATCCTGACCGCTCTCTCAGCTCCTGGCCACGACACTGTTCACTCCAACGGTCACAGAACGAGTTCCAGGAGCTGGTCATCCTCCAGCAGGTCCAGGGCCAGGCAGTTCATGGAGCGCCGGCCGTAGAAAGAGGGCTTCGCTGGGTAAGAGCCGAACTCCGTGCAGTCCGGAGCGTCGGGGAGTCCGAAGGTGTAGCTGTGGGAGGTGCTGGCGAGGGTAGCCAGCGGGAGAGGACGAGGCAGAAGACGGACGTCATCCAAACTCTGACTGTGCCGGTCAGCAGAACCTCGAGACTTCCACTTCAGAACCTGCAGAGCGGAGACAGACAGTGTTGGAGTTAGTGTGATAAATTAAAGCAGGGCTGACCAGCAGGACGGTACTTTAAACCGCATCATGGTATGGGCAGAAAGAACACTGACCACCTGCATGTTTCATCACTGATTAAGAGTAACTAGTCCTGTTTAACTGGGTTTAGTGCAGTGCAGTGTGTGAAACTGAGTAAAAATCATTACAGTCACTGTGTTTGATTGTATTCAGCTCGGCTGGTCTTTTTTTCTTTGGTATCAAACCTCAGAAAAACTAAAATATCGCAATAAACATCTTTAAGCACCATGATATTGATGTTCTGCCGTATCGTCCATCCCTTGTGTGAGATTTTCACAGGTATTGTCAGTAATTCTAGAAAACCAAACAACTGCATGAATCATAATAAGACAGATTTAGAGCAACTAGAGAGTCTGTAAACAACAACAACAACAACAACAACAACAACAGCAGTATACTAATGGCATGAGTAACTGACTAGATGTAAGACCGTTATACTCTTTTATAAAGAAAACCATTGGCTATTGATGGGTATATCAATACTGGTGCATCAGTACTGAAAAGATAAAGTGGAAACGAGTCTCTACTCATTTTATTAATGTTTTCCAGTTGTTTGATTTGTCCTCGCGTTCCTTTGTAAATAGGCCCCCTTAACTACACAGTAAAGACCAAAGAAGGGCTGAGGAAACGATGGATGATGAACAGAGAAGAGAAGGATGTGGAGGTGCCTGACCTGCTCTGCGGTGCTGGAGTCACAGGGTTCTGCTGGACCGTCCGTCGCCTGAACAAGGTTTAAATGTACGTCTGAAACACAGTAAAGCAGAACAGAAAAACATGAGATCTCTTTTGTTTGTGTAATTATTCACTTTTCTAGCATAAACATTCTCACACAAATACACTTTCGCATGGAAATGTAGTGGCAGTGTGTCTGTAATGACACAGTGTCACCACAGGGGCGCAGACTTGCACATTCCTCAGATGTGCGTGAGCTTCACAACCTGCCAACTCAGACCACCAGCGCCCTCTATAGTTCACAATACGACTGAAAACAGCTGCGGTGTCCACTGACCCCCACCTACCCACCCCAGCTCTCAAAATCCAGTTTAGCCCACCTGTGATCCCTCCTGCTGGAGGATGAAGGCCAGTCAGTTAACAGGGTGGACAGGTGTGGTCATCTGAATGACAGACACAACACTGACTGACTATCTACTTGAAACTGAGATTTCAGTGGTCACTCTGAGAAGTAATCAAGACATGCTCTGTTACTGCCAACATGCTGTTCTGGTCATCTGAACAGAGAATAATCCGCTCCGTCAGCCTCTTAACAGACTGACCGGTACATCAGCTGGCCAATAATATCGCCCAATATTGACGACCCACAATTTTACTGGAAATGGTGAAACATGACAGAGAACAGTGTACTGACGAATCTGAGCACAACACACCATCATATCAGAATAAGAAACATAAATACATCTATGTAAATGACAGAACACACCACCTCAATGAAGAGAACTAATGACAATAAGAAAAATGAAAGGTAATAAATAATCAAAAATAAACAAAAACACTATATATATATATATATATATACACACACACACACACACACACACACACACACACACACACACACATTTTTATTGTGTTATTTCCAGGTAATATCAGTCAAACTTACAAAATGGAACTTTTCTGATTTTTTTTTTTTTAATTTTTGTTTGTGTCAAAAGCAGGTAACTCCTGTGGTCAGTTCATGTTTCGGAGCTTCTTTTAGGTCAATATTTAACATCTTTCCCATGAACCAAGCAGGTAAAGATCTGAAAACTGAACACAAACAGCCGTTAACGATCAATATTAATCATCTATAAGATCATCTATAAGGCTGAGTCTCAGATGCCTCACTGCTCCCTATAGAGTCACTATGAGTTATGAAATTTAGTCTTTTCCACCCAAATATTGGTCTGTGTCCAGTATGAATCGTCTCTCATGGCTGGGTCCAGAGTGGTTCTCTGTTCTCTGCCTCAAACAGTCGGTGGCAGTCCTGCGTCATCTGACTCGAATACTGCGCTCTGATTGGCTGAACGGATTTATGGGGTTCTGCTGGAGAGCAGCGCTGGCGTTTGACCGTTTCTGCTGTAAAACATGAACTTGTGATGAACAATAGTGACTGAACGTGTTCAGGGTTCAGAGCTGAGCGTTAATAACTCACCACAGTCAGCTCCGTTTTAGAGGAGGGAGTTTACTGTTTTTTGAGAATGAAATCTTTATATTCATTTACGGCGTTTGGCAGACGCTCTTATCCAGAGCGACTTACAACTTGATGTCTTTACACAGGTAGGTGAAGGTAGTGTTAGGAGTCTTGCCCAAGGACTCACAGTACAGGGTGTTTACCCAGGCAGGGATTAAACCCCAGTCTACAGCGTAGAAGGCAGAGGTGTTACCCACTACACTACACCAACCACATATAAATCTATTTCTACATCTGTGTGCAATATTATATACATTTATAACAAGCAACATCAAGTTGTTTAAGTCCTGGTGACCCTCTGGACAGTGTTCCTCTAGAACATCCTGCCTACAGTTTGGGACTTATATGACCCTAAAATCAGTATCGGGTCAGATTCCAGTCCTGACACCAAACCTGCACGTGACTAAGACCATCAGCTGAAACCCATCAGCGCTTCTCACCTCCTGCGTTCATCTCTGAGCCGAGGGAGGGGCAATCCATGGACACGCCCTGAAGCAGCTCAGCCAGTCGCAGCATCTCCTCCGGATCGTCCACAGAAACCTCTCCAGGTCCGTCCACATGGTGCTGAAAATCTAGAGCATTTAATCAAAACAATAAATGAACATCCCTTCATGCATAATGAGCCTTTTACTGCAACACCTGCCGTGTTTTTCAGGAAGAGATCCTTGAACTAATCCACTACAGCATCTCACTGTAGTGAATGACCTGCTGTCGTTATTCATCTGTATCAGTTACGCCGAGAAATCCCGACTCCTGAACACCAAAGCCCAGTCCCGTTTCACCCCTCGCCCCACCACTCCGTCTAGCGTGTTCTCGTCTAGGGGTAGGGTGTCCCGATTCTTGTTGAGATAGAGGGGGAGGGTGAAGTGTTAAGGCTACATGACCCTCCAAACAGAGGTTTTTCAGAGACTACAAACGGAGCGTTATGAGAAAAAAGAAAAACCGACAAAATGAGAGAGAGAAAAAAAAAGAAAACTAAGAATTGTGAAAAATATTATCTTAGTTTAACGTAGTTTCAGTGTATTACGGTCATTTTCTTTATACCAAGCACACATCGCTGGTAGTGCTGACGTCTCGGTAGCCAGATCAATGTCCTGTTCCACCTTAAATGGTGCGGCAGTTCTGATACCTGACGCTCTAGAATGTATCTGCCGCACCATTTAAGGTGGAACAGAATAATTCTAATAAGAATCTGGAGAATATCTGACTTCAGCTTCATATCACTGAAGAATTAGGGGTGGGTGATAATAAATAATTGCCCCCCTCTTTGAAGGCGTATGATTCCCTAAATGTAACTAAAGCGCAGCAGTGAGGTTGCTCTATCTTCAAAGAAAATTTTATGGATCATGATCAATAATTAGCTATTTTGAGGTTTGACGAGTCGATGCAGAACAAAAAAGCCTTGCTAAGGTTGTTAAGATGCTGCTATGAAATCCCAGGTGGTCGCTAAGGTGTTGCTTTAAAATCCCAGGTGGTTGCTAAGATGCTGCTATGAAATCCCAGGTGGTTGCTAAGATGCTGCTATGAAATCCCAGGTGGTCGCTAAGGTGTTGCTTTAAAATCCCAGGTGGTCGCTAAGATGCTGCTATGAAATCCCAGGTGGTTGCTAAGCTGTTGCTATGTTATCTCAGATGGCTGCTAAGATCCTGCTATGTTATCACAGGTGGTTGCTAAGGTGTTGCTATAAAATCCCAAGTGGTTGCTAAGGTGTTGCTATGGAATGAGGAATGACCTCCTCCCTCACCTTCGTCCTGCCACTCCTCCTCCTCAGTGCGGGCTTTGCTGCCAGTGTCGATGCCGGACGTGTGGGAGGAGCCGTGACTGGCCGCCGAGCTGAAGGACTTCTCCGTCCGTCTCAGGGCTTCTTCCTCCTCCACAGAGACCATCTCCACGGAGGCGCTGCGTTGCCGGGCGTCAGCCTCGATGCCGGAGCTGCTGGTGGAATGTCTGGAGAGGCGGGGGCTGCCCTCACTGCAGGGGGGGTCTGGATCCATGTCATCGCTGATGTACGATTCCCTGTATCTCTTTTTCTCTGGAAAGGAGAGGAGAGACGCCGTCAATTCGTGTCCGAAATATCGAACACATGATGGCCACCACAGTGCCATATCTACTAGTGGGATTTTCTAGGGGTCCTGAGTTTCCAAGTTGTTTCCAGGGCATTTATCTGAACCACTGGAACACAAATGACCTCCAAAGTCATAAGAAGGAGCTTCTGAGGAGAATTTGAAGGCAGCAGGAGACACAAAGCTGCCATAAGCAGTGGTGGCCCTGATGTAAATCCATCAGAAATTTGTTGAAAATATCAAGAGAATCTCAAATCGTGAATCGAGCCTCAAGAACTGAATCAAACTGTGGACCGAGTGTATCGTTACACCCCAACCGGTATCAGATCAGCGCCATCTCTAACGCTAAGAGGCTGCTAATAATCAATGACACCTCAAATTTAAAGATAAATAATGTTCTGTTTGCTGGAGGCTTCAAACTTTTCATTATTCTTATTCTGAATTACTGTCAACTACACACAGCCTGAAGCAGCATGCAGAGCATTAAAAGGGAACTCCACCAATTTTTCAAAATTTCTCCAAAATAAAATCACTGAGAGTGGTTCAGAGTGGTTCTCTGTTCTAGATAAACTTACCGAGTCAGAACTGTTCACAGTGGTGGTGATAGGAACCAGACGTCCACCTCTAAAAGCTCCCTCACAGAAAGTTACTACATGAAATGGTTATGAATTCACTGCCTGATGACTGAGACACTGTTTTATGATAGTTTGAGAACTTAAACTCCATTCATGGTGGAGGGATACATGCAGGGCGCTGTGAGGCAAAATAGTCCCCAAAGAAAACTTATTATTTCAGATTTTCCACTATTTTCCATCATCAACATTCCATATAAACTCAGAAGACTCGTGTAGGTTCACTGGTGGTTCTGGATAGTAAATAAAATGACTCTGAATGACTGTTTACGTCTCAAAACGCTGAACTAGGCAGAAAGTTTCTGAACTCAGTGGACTTCCCCTTTAAGTCTTTAAGCTAATAACTGCCTTATCATTCAAGCACAGTCGACACCATTTCACATGCTCAGCCTGAAAATCAGACACCATCATTCGAGCGGGACCCTCACTCACCCTCGGCCTCCTCCAGCTGCCGCAGGTGTTTGATGGCGGGCTGCAGGCTCAGGTAGAGGCGATGGCTGCTGCTCAGGTGGAGGAGAAGGTGGCGAGAGCGGAAAGCCGAGCCGGTGTAGTAAATCAGCTTCCTCGCTGAGGGCAGCCCGTCCGGCTGGATCTCGAACCTCTTCCCCTAAAACAGAGCCGAGGAGACGAGGAGTCTGACGAACATCTGTAACATCTGTAATTACAGCTCAATAAACTTCAGCATAACAACTTTAATCTATATAATCTATTGAAATCGACCTCCTGACACATCAGTCATCAATCTGCACCATAATGATGAAAAACAATGTCTAAATGAGAAATATCACATATATCGACTAGATTTAAGGTGTTTACACTGGCTGAGATCTCATATTTGCAGTGAACTCCTACTGTGACCCTCAGGTCAACACAGGCTGAGTAAACCCTCAGTAAACGCCAGCGAAGAACGGCCTGTTAAAAGATCCCGTCGCTCTGGAATGAGGGAACCAATGTGAAAGTACCAGAAAAGTGAGTCGCCCCACGTTGGTCCAGGGGAAGTCGTACAGCAGCTCACGTACGTTGTTCATCTCCTAAGTGACACAAACCAAACACACACAGCGGTGTTAGATTACAGACCCCCTGAGCTGAGACACAGAGCTGAATGAGACAAACAATACTTTTACCACAACATTCACTTCATCTGAGGGTGTGAATTAGAACAGGAAGAACAATCAGACCAAGAAAGGAGAGAAAGTCTAGGAAGAACTGAGTATAACACATGCAGGACTGTTCAAAAGGTCCGAGCGCATTATTTACATCCATTTACACAGAAATACACGAGTGTGTAAAACATCATTCAACATTAGAATAAAGACAATCAAACACTAAGATAAGATACAGCTCAGCTCCTGGTTCATTTTATGGAATGTATGAATTTTGCACATTTTTTTCCCCCAAAATCTGTTTTATACAGTGATTAAACAATAACACTAAATGTGCAGAAGTGTGTAGAGGGTGTATTAACTTATTTATATGATAACAGGTCATCAGAGCAGAAGCGCCCACACTCGGTCACGCGGTCACACGGTTGGCAGTTACACTCGTACACGGCTTTATTTTAACCATAACCTGACTTCTTCCTGTTTGCGCTCTTGTTCTCTTGCTTTTGTTGTGAAAAGGTAAGAAAAGCAGCGCAGACGCTAACAGGCTAGCCTGCTAACCAGCCCTGCGCTTCGTTTACGTCTTAAAGAAAAAGTAAAAAAATTAATATTAAAATCGAGCTGTTAGTAATTAATGAATCACGTTCAGAACATACACATCAGAATAGTCTACGTTCTTAAAAAAATGGTTCTCCAAGGGTTCTTTAGTAAAAACAGTGGTTCTATATAGAACCATGAACACTGTGCATGCTTAAAGTGTTCTCTGCCTGGTGAAATGGTTCTTGAGAGTGATGGTGAGTGTGTTGTATGTGGGTCTATACAGCACCAAAAAGGGTTCCGTTATCGTTACGAGACTGTACCAATAGAAGAACTCTTTTTGGTGCTGCATAGAACCCTTTTCAAAAACATTCTATATAGAACCATATCAAACACATTCTCCATCAATCTGAAGAACCATTTTTTCAGTGTATGTGGTTCCATATAGAACCACTGTCTGTACTCAAGAACGCTTGAAGAACCATCTTTAAGAGCAGACTTTGTTTTTTCACAAACTCTGTTTATCACTGTTTATTTTCTACAAAACAGTCCGACTCCGTCGTGTTTCGCCCACATTTATTCCCACCCAGATATCCTGATTCAGAATGTTAGCGAAGAAAAACACGTTCTGATTCTGATTTTGAAGTGGGGTTTGGTCGGGGAGAATTTCCCAGCAGGCTCTGGGGCCGTAATGGGTCAGACTCAGGGCTCTCAGCGTAATCTGGACTCGTTCCACAGAGTTCAGAGGGATCAGCGCAGAGGCAGCTTCCCAAATCCTGTTTTCGGCTTATTGACGATAACCTGCGCATTCCTCCCCTGTCTGGCGGGGGGCTATCAGACTGGTGGGGACTGGCACACAGGACCGAGGGAGGTTCTGCTCTGACTCACTGACGACCCACTGACTCACAGACACCCCACTCGTCTTCACACACACAAATAACCCCCCCCACCACACACACAGACACACACACAGACACACACACAGACACACACACAGACACACACACCCCACCACACACTCTGACCCCCACACCCACCTGATAAACCTGCATTCCTCGCAGGGTGAGTCCCAGCAGGGCAGAGCCTTTCTCCTCTCTCTTGTCCTGCAGTGATGACAACATGATGAATAAACTGAAGGGGAAGTCCACTGATTTATCAAAAATTCAAAGTTGTTCAGAGCGGTCTGATGTGAAATGTCAGTATTACAGTGTATAAAATCTCCCTCACTACATGAAATAGTTGTGAATGCGCTGCCTGATACCAGAGACTGTGTTTTAAACTCCATTCATGGTGGAGGGATACATGCAGGGCGCTGTGAGGCAAAACAGTCCCCAAAGAAAACTTACTATTTCAGATTTTCCACTATTTTCCCATCATCAACATTCCATATAAACTCAGAAGACTCGTGTAGGTTCACTGTACAGTCAGAAACGATAGTTCATCTATTGGTCATCTAGTCCATTGTGGTCAACTGCCGGACCCAGCAAAGTACTTCAGCGGACCGAACCGAGCAAAGCCAATTAACGGATGTAAACAAAAATGGTCGTATTTCAGCGACATATACGAACATCACCCAGCGCGGCTTCTGTAGCAGAGCTGTGTGACTGAAACAAAGTACGCAGAGAAACAGATGGACGACAGTCTGTAACTGTAGAACTACAGAGTGAAACTATATGGTCAGTGGAGCTGATACAGTGGACAGTGAGTGTAGAAACAAGGAGGTGGACCTAAAAAAGCATCCTGTGAGTGTGAACAGTCTGGTCTATAAACCCATCAGAGTGTTTATGTGTGTGTTTATGCACCTGCAGTCACACTTCATCAATCTGGGAGTCTGTAAATGTAGACAGGCTTTGAAGAAACTGACCTGCAGAGCTTCAGGTCTGACATACCTGAGCCTTTAAACAGGCCAATAACCCCCCATCGTCACGCTATGACCTCGCTAAGCCCCGACTTTGATTAAAACGCTCCCCCTAAGCTTCCTCCCACATTCCACGGCTCCACGGGTCTTAAACTCCCAACATGCCCTCTGTGATCGTGAGACCTCTGACCTTGTGGAGCCTGTAGAAGGTGACGGGCACGTCCTCCAAACGGCAGGACTCCCTGATGAAGAGGAGGATGGCGTCTCGAGAGGGCATCCCCCACAGCTCCCGGTGCACCTTCGGCCCATGACACAGCAGGTACTCCACACCACGCTTAGCCACAATCTGCACAGGAACACAGAGCAGAGTGTGAGATGTAATCAGAGTGACTCAGAGTGGTTTGGTGTGAATTGGTTCAGATGTCTTTACAGTGGTGGTGATAGGAACCAGGCGTTGCCATGACTACAACACAAGTATAGACATCTTATTTACTATCCAGAACCACCAGTGAACCTACACGAGTCTTCTGAGTTTATATGGAATGTTGATGATGGAAAATCTGAAATTTGTGTTGTGAGAAGTTTGAGAACCCAAATTTTGACAAATAAACAATCAGATTTGTTATTTAGCAGAAGAAAAAGTGAGAGAGGGTGAATCCTCGCCGGCAAAGAAGAGAAAACATAAAAAAGCAAAACAAACTCGGGACAGACGACGGCAGAAAACCTGACGGCCGCTGTAGGTTCTACTACACTCTTGGAGAGGGAGGTGAGAGGGAGGGGGATGATTCCTCACCACTAGATGGCACTAAGTCTTACACACGGCACCTTTAACACAACCCTCTTATATCACTACAGTTTAACTTCACAGATCCAGACGAATGCTACTCAGCCAGCGCGCAGGCTTACCCAGGGAGGGAAGTAGTCCTTGGGCTGGAAGTATGGAGCGACTCGCTGGCCAAGGTCCTCCGGAGGGTGGTCTCCTAGATCGGCCTGCAGAGCGTAGCCCGCCAGCTGGAAATAGACTTCCTCCTGCTGTCGGCATTCTGATCGCAGGACTCGCTCTCTCAGATCAGCGTAGTACAGCCTCCTCGCCTTCCGCTCACTTCGGTCCGCGGGGGTTGGGGGGGGGAGGGAAGTTGGAGAGGGAGAGAGAAACATTTATGTAAATTTAGAGGTTAGTGTTTGGGACAGACTCCTCCCAGTAGAAAGCACTCTATAAATGACTGTGTATATATTTAGTTTATTACTGATCAGAACAGAATCACTGTAAATGTCTAAGATCTGAAAACTACACAGTTTTTACTCTTATTTTACATATATGATCCGTATACATATGTGACAGTTTTGTATACCTGACAGATCATTTATATGAGCGTAAAATATGAACAGAGCCCTGAGGAACTCCACCAGCCGCGGTCCTCATTCGTCCTGAAGCACGATGAATTGTTTTTTCCTCTTCCTTGATCTAAAGGGGTGTTTTATTGATCTGGAGTTGCGGAATCGTAACAGGTACTCACCAGATAAGCCTACCGTTCTCCACATAGTACTGCACTTTCAGACAGAGCAGCGGGGGGAGCCACCTCCTCTGAGACCCCTGCGGAGAACCACAACAGAGTTAAGTAGGTTACCGTGGCAGCCCCCTCATTATGCGCCCACTCTCGCATGCCATTGGTTCCCCAGTTATGGTTCTGTCTGCGTGTTCTAACTGCCCTACTGACCGCAATATAGTCCACAGAGTGAGAAACTGGACAGGAACTAAAAATCTGCTCTGATTTATCTGCAGCAAACGAATCATGATTTTCACAGATCGGCTGTAAGTAAATCTCATATTCAGAATCTGGACAGAAAAGAACACAATCGAGGATAATAAGCAGTAGAGCTGGGCGATATGGACAAAACATAATATTGTGATACTAAAAAAATTTCACAATACACAATATTTATTTTGTCAGTGCTACATTTTCTAAAATACTATCAAAAACTTGAACACAGAGATTTTTATTCAATATCTGGCACTAAATCCAGTTAAACAGGACCAATTTTGCTCTCTTTATAATGAATCTTGTGTTACATTATGACATAATTTATCATGATAATGATATATACTGTAATATCGCCCGAATAACCATAAGACACTTCAATATTACGTATCTAAAGTGTGGGGAGCTTTGTAATCAGACCTGTAGGAACAGATAAAGAAAGTCACCTTTGCCGAGTCCTGCTTCCACTCCTTGGGGAAGTACTTGGCCAGCCGCTCCTCCATGTCCAGAAACATGTGCTCATTGTCTGGATGATCCCCAAAACATACAGAGAGGAAATGAAACAAATACTTTCACACAGCCAACAAAAGCAACAGGAACTCATGCATGAAATCTGCCCAACAATGGCCTCAATCAGAGAGAGGACAACAAGGCAGAGACGCTCCTGCAGAGCATCAGCAGACAACAGGACTGCTGGGTCGGTTCTTCAAAAGCAGAGTGTGGAGAGGTCAAAGCAGTTCACTGAATGTTTGAGGAACCGTTAAAAAAAAAAACCATCAGCAAAACTTCTTTGACATTTCACTAACAAAAGTGATTAAACCAGTTTAAGATTGACTCCCGACTGCTAGTGAAAAGGTTTTATTCAGGGTCAGAACTGTTCACAGTGGTGGTGATAGGAACCAGACGTCCACCTCTAAAAGCTCCCTCACAGAAAGTTACTACATGAAATGGTTATGAATTCACTGCCTGATGACTGAGACACTGTTTTATAATAGTTTTGAGAACTTAATCCATTCATGGTGGAGGGATACATAATATGCGGGGCGCTGTGAGGCAAAATAGTCCCCAAAGAAAACGTATTATTTCAGATTTTCCACTATTTTCCATCATCAACATTCCATATAAACTCAGAAGACTCGTGTAGGTTCACTGGTGGTTCTGGATAGTAAATAAAATGTCTACATTTGTGTTGTAGTCATGGCGACCCCTGGTTCCTATCACCACCACTGTAAAGACATCAGAACCATTTCACACCAAAGCTGAACGCGTGTCTGTTTATTAGGAGGAGGAACGTTAGCGCGCTAACGCGTTTGGGAAATGGAGACTGAAACTGGGGAGCGGTGACGCTCTGATAAACAGCAGGGGGCGCTCTCACAGTGTTCACACCTTACAGTTTATCACACTTTAGCTCTGTTTGACCTTTTTAACAGCAGTAACTGTAGCTGTCCGGCTGACTAGGCTGATTATTTTGAAGTGTTTACGTTTCAGCTGTGTGTTTATGGTTGGCTGCTAGGTAACTGATTGTCGACTTTGATTAAGTAGGTTAAGATTTCCTAACTGGAGATAAGATGCTGTAAGATCAGATAAAATTCCTAAATTAAGATCAGATTTACTTCTGTAATCAGAATCAGTGAACTTATGACAGAAAGACAGGAAGTTTCTGTAATACGGCAAATTAATTTTGAAGGTCTGAACAAAGTCCAGACAAATCTGAGGACTTAAGGGGGTTAAATACTTTTGCAAGACACTGCATCACATCAGTCTCTTCAAAAAACTTCAGGTTTCCATGATGCGGCCCTTTAAGGTGTCGAGACAGGCCTTTTCCTCGTCTGTCTGAATGATTACAGCATTATTTACTCATTCATAATGTGTATAACACATAACTCCTCACGCAAAACACTGACCGCCAGCTTTACTCCCTCCGCTCGCTCTATCACCTCCACCTTTCAGCACTCCACCGACACGCCTCCTTCTGGATTAGATCTCCTTTCACTCATTCACACTCTCTCTCTCTCTCTCTCTCTCTCTCTCTCAGGTCAACAATCAAAACAGGGGAAGACCGTGACCCTCTCAAACTCAGCTATTTGTTTTCACTGAACACATGCCAGAGTTAATGAAGTTAATATAGCTGGAATTCAGGCTTTAGTGGTCCTGCCCTCCCCCCACACTACACAAACAAAGGCGGTCTTGTGCAAGAGGTGAGCAACACCAGATTATGGAGGTATGTGAGGAAGAGGAAGCTCGGAGAGAAACGGAGAAAAGGAATGAAAGAGGCGAGAAACAGAGAGAGAGAGAGAGAGAGAGAGAGAGAGAGAGACAGGACCGGACGCTGTGGTTTAAAGGGAGAGAGAGCCGACCAAGCCGATAGAGCCGATACCACCGATCAGAATCACGAAACAACAGAAAGTTCATCTCCGTTGAACGCGCCTCACTGGCTGATCTAACGCCGCGTCCCAAACCAAACACTTCTGTGCTTCACCTACTACACTAATTAGAAGTGCACTCATTTTTACACACTATTTAGTGAGCTAGTGTGCGGTTTGGGACGGGGCGCCAGTAACACAGCGGGAAATCTCAGCCGTTTAGATTTCAGCTTTCATTTATTATCAATACAGCAACAAATCAAATAAAATAAAGTTAATAAAGTGAGTATTTCCTAAATAACCGTGTTTCACTGCCTTTTCTGGGTCAGTTATGGCTGTTATTTCATAATAAACCGCCGCTGCGCTGCTGAATGACTGGGAAGTTAGTGAAACTCTGTGTGTGTGACGCCATTACAATACTGTGAATTAGCATGTGTGTGTGGAGTGTGAGTGAAACTGGCCTCTAAGGTGTGACTAGAAACTCAGCTCAGATGGTTCCTCACCTTTGACAACCGTCAGACCAAAGTTGTGCAGCTGTTTCACGCCGAGAAGCTCAGAGACGTGAGAGAAGACCTCCTGTCCTGTAGCCTTCAGCTGGACACAACAGGAGACACAGAGATCTGATTAACACGCGACACAGGAAAACATACAGTATATACAGCAGAAACTTAGTCAGTGCTATAAGAACCGCAGCGTATACGAGGAGCCAGGGCGAGTTTCTCTGTCTGTCCGTCACAGATTAAGCCAAATTCAGACAGCCATGATCAATCACTGTTAAAAATCCTTTTTTTAGTTAAGACCTAATTTAAGTGGAAAAACAAATTTACATTTTAAAGCATTATAAATAATGGAAAAGGGAACGAAATGCTCTTCTGCTCATCCAGCACTGGCACAACTGACGAGCCACGTCGGCTCAATCCAGATAAATCCCATTTTGACCAAGTGCACTAGATCAAGTGTCCAAACCTTTAATGTGTTCTGTAGAATTAGGAAGCAGGGAGACGTTTACTGATGATTCAGCCAATGTGAATAAACTGAGCCACAACTTCAGGACAATAATTCCACCAATTTAATTCAGAGTGGTTTGGTGTGAAACGCTCCGTTCTAGAGAAACTTACCGAGTCAGAACTGTTCACAGTGGTGGTGATAGGAACCAGACGCCCACCTCTAAAAGCTCCCTCACAGAAAATTACTACATGAAATGGTTATGAATTCACTGCCTGATGACTGAGACACTGTTTTATGATAGTTTAGAGAACTTAATCCATTCATGGTGGAGGGATACATGCAGGGCGCTGTGAGGCAAAATAGTCCCCAAAGAAAACTTATTATTTCAGATTTTCCACTATTTTCCATCATCAACATTCCATATAAACTCAGAAGACTCGTGTAGGTTCACTGGTGGTTCTGGATAGTAAATAAAATGTCTATATTTGTGTTGTAGTCATGGCGACCCCTGGTTCCTATCACCACCATTATTTTCATATTCCACTTAGTAATCATTATTACATGTTTACAGTTCTGGGCATTATGATGGTATTTACTGTTACTGTGATAAATCATTTTACGATATGCTTTTTTTTAATCAGAATATCATGGATATCATCACCACCTAAAAACATCCCAACTGCATGTTTAGTCCAGTGCAGTTTGATTAAACGCAGTGAAATGTTGAATCTAAATCACTGATCATATTTTTTAATTTGATATTATTTATCAAAAACATATGTTTCTTGATTATAAGACTAATTGATTACAAACTGGCTGCAAAAACCAGATGGAAAATATGAAGGCAGAGTGCAGAGTATATATATATATACACACATACACACACACACACACATATATATATATATAGATAGATAATGATAAAAAAAATATGACTATTGACTGAATAAAGAATCTGAATTTTACCTATTGACTTTGTTTACTATAAAGCACATTAATTAGGATCCGGTCTGTTCTTGGTTCTTGCAACAAGAAAAATTGACTTCATTTGCATTTCATTTGCATAATTATAATCAGACCTGCATACAGAATACCACAAAATTAGAATAACTCTGTCTATAATGATAGTCTATAGCAAAAACTGCCCCCACAAAATGCCCATTCGACACTCCTTACCCCCCCAACCTTCCCCGCTGAACTTCGCACCCCTCTGACTCTGACTGAGCCTGTTTATCTCGACTGAATACAGCAGAGAGTCTGACGAGTCTGTTTAATTCATGCTTAAAGGACTGAAAATTTACCCCCACAGTGATGTCCAGCGTCTCCTTGGTGGGCAGCAGGACACACACTGTCCTTTCCTGCTTGGCTGAGACGGACATGATTTCATCCACTCTCTCTCCGCGTGCACACACACACACACACACACACACACACTAAGCCAGTCCTATCCTCACACCGTGTCCCTCTCCAGGCTGTTTATTCCACAGATGAGCTTCATCATCTTCATCTAAAAAAGAAACAACAGAAAACTTTAAATCAGAGTTAAAATCATCAGCAGCGTCTTTAATCGCCTCATACGTCCCACAGAATAAACCAGCGCAGTGAGCAATAAGCAGTGAATATGTTGCAAAATCATCCATTCAGTCCTGATTATATAAACAGATACAGTTACATAAAGTTTCTGAACGGAGAGAAAACTCCAGAGTACGAGACCAAAGCTGCTAAGACTGGTCAGCACAGCCAAATCAGATAAGCCCCCTTCAGAAACACAAGGGGGACGGACCGCATTCCTCACATTATTTGGCAAAGAGCTTTACGAGCTCTGCTGCAGGTCCACCTTCATCGTGAGTCAGTTAGGCCTCATTCAGCACACTCAGAAACGGATTCAGAAAACACCTGAAGACGTAAAATCATTTTCTGACACCTGTCTGCACGGCTCCTCTGAGTGAAGACGCAGCAGCAGTAGTGGACAATATGCAGGTTCACCCAGTGTATCGGCTGAAATTCTATAGTCATTACCGTTACACCTGTATGTGCATAAACACAGATAATGTGACATACAAACAGGTCAGAACTCACTGATCTCCTCACCTCACGTGTACTGAGCAGCAGTCTGAGGTCAGTCAGTCCAGTTTACGGTCAAAGGAGTGGCATCGGACTGTAATGAGTTAACGGGGAAAATAGAGCAGAAGGAAAAGCCAGTCTCTTGGGGTTAGCTGTTAGCCATTAGCCAAAACCCCCAGGTAGGACATTTTCACAGCCAAAATCACCTTAATCAGAAAATCCTGCCAGTGTTAAAACTACGAAGCTGAAGTCGGCTTCTTATCCGCCAGCATCTCGTTCAACTCTTCCCGTTCCACCTTAAATGGTGCAACAGTTATTACTGTAAAATTATGCATTACAATAATAATGGCTGCACCATTTAAGGTGGAACGGGAAGATTCAAAACAAGAAGCTGGTAAATGTCTTTATTAGAAGATGTTAACAGCGTTAGAAGAATAAGGAGGATATTTTAAGAGCCTAAATCAGCCGATCGGGGGAAGCAGTGACATTAAACTGAGTCTGGACTAAATTAAACACAGATATGAGACAAATGACTTAAAAAAACCGTAACAAAACCAAACCACTCAGACGTTTGTGGTAAAAACGGAAAATGAGGCTTTATTAATAAAGGCTTTGGTAAAACTTGAAGTCGATCAACAGGCGATGGTCAAATCACAAAGAAGGACAAACATAAAACCAGGCAACCAGATCAAAAGGGCAAATTCAGAGAATCCAAGTCAGGTCAAAATACAAAAGGTCCACAAGAACAAGCAGAACCTCATAGAGAACCGAATCTAAAAGCCTGGATTTTATACTAACTCTAACAGATCACACGACCAGAAGAACAGGTGAACCAGATTAGCCCTCAGGTGAGCGTGAACAATGATTGGAGCACTGTGGAGGGTCAGCAGGCACCTGATCTCCCAGAGGGTTACGGGAGATGGAGTTCATGGACGCTTCAGAGCCGGAGGGATGCGTGATGACAACGTTCAGCAGCGTTTAGAGACACAGACAGCAACACTGACACCTGACTCTTCATTGATCATGCCTGTTTACAGTTTCACCCAATAAGCGTATTTAAGAGCTACTTCAGCTGTTAAATGAGGTTCTTATTAAAAGTGAAGGGACGTCCAGAAAAATACTGCACTGATAATCTACAAAGACGGTTTACTGAAGCGTCCAGAACGGGTTTATTTGAACAAAAACAAGCACAAACACACTAAAGCGTTATACATACCGTGACCGTCAGTGATCTTAATCACACCAGGGTGTCATTTTTTGCTCGTACTGTCCACTGCTAAGCAGCACTGAATGTGAGGAGCTTGTAACAGGGTGCGGGAGTGATTTCCATCTCTGACGTCAGGCGGCTGCTGTTGTGAAATCTCTCGCTTCATTCTAGACATAAATGGCATATTTCTAAGTGTGGAAGCCACTCAGTCGGACATCATCCTCTCATATTGTTCCCCTCTAGCAGACACCTAAACAAAACTACTGCGTCTAACCTGGACACCCCACTGAGAATGTTCTAGCTACACCCCTGTGTAGAACACACCACTCACTCCTTTAGCAGAAGCAGAGAGGGTGTCCTGCAGTCAGGAGCCGAGCCGGAGCTGCAGAGAGGGACGAGAGGCACGAGCCCTGCTTACTCAGCTGTATGGTCCGGCGCTGGGCAGAGCCCCGCCTGGTACAGTCCTGCGCTGATTAACGGGGCTTATCTCTCCAAATCAACTAATCATATTAATGAGAGCAGTGCGCCTATCGGATCCTCACTGAGTCCGGGGTTGGGGGGGTGGGGTCCGCCAAACAGAGACCAACATATCACTGCTGTTGAAACAAAACCTTGTATCTTCGCTTTTGTCATTTTTCAGTTTTTGATGAAATTTGAAAATGCCTGTTGTTCTTCACACTGTGTGTAAATTTCATGATGAATGGACCAAAAGAAACGACCCAAAATGACTTGGAAAGACGTCTGGTTCTATTGACTTACATTAAAAGTAAAGCACGTTTTTTCCTTCTCCTGTAAAGTTACCGTTTGGAGATACGAGGTTTTGTTCCGACAGCAGCGATATATTTATGGGCAAGTAAAAGGTTCGTCTCTGATTAGAGATCACTGACCACGTTCAAACTAAGCAGAGATAAAAGCTTCAAGACATAATTAGGCATAAAAAAAAATCACAATAATACCGTTTATGATAAACCTATAATCGCGTTTACAGCATCATTACGTTGCATTTTTAAAATATTTATAAAACCAAATGTTTCCATGTAATTATTTACCTCACATGTGCAGTATTAACAATAAAATAATCATTAAAATAAATACAAAACCGCCACATAATGATGCTCACTCCACACTGACCGGCCACTTCATTAAGTCCACCTCCTTGTTTCTACACTCACTGTCCACTTTATCAGCTCCACTGACCGTATAGTTTCACTCTGTAGTTCTACAGTTACAGACTGTAGGCCATCTGTTTCCCTACATACTCTGTTACCCTGTTCTTCAGTGGTCAGGACCCCCATGGACCCTCACAGAGCAGGTACTATTTGGGTGGTGGGTCATTCTCAGCACTGCAGTAACACTGACGTGGTGGTGGTGTGTTAGTGTGTGTTGTGATCCACTCAGACCAGCAGACACAGCAGTGCTGCTGGAGTTTTTAAACACTGTGTCCACTCACTGTCCACTCTATTAGACACTCCTACCTTGTCAGTCCACCTTGTAGATGTAAAGTCAGAGACGATAGCTCATCTGCTGCTGCACAGTTTGTGTTGGTCATGCTCTAGTCCTTCATCAGTGGACACAGGACGCTGCCCACAGGACGCTGTTGGCTGGATGTTTTTCGTTCTCAGTCCAGCAGTGACACTGAGGTGTTTAAGAACCAGAGAGTCCAGTCAGAGCGAGACCAGCAGCAGTGAGTGACCTGAGTGTTCAGCTTGTGCGCTTGTGTTTTTAACTGCTTTAAAATTACACAGATTTGAGAAACTTGGTCTGTTTTTACTTTGCTCTGTGGAATGTGCAGAATGCTCCATATAACTCTTCTATTAAATAATCATATTTCCCTTAGATCCTGTTCCATTAACCGCTCAGTGAAGTCAGAGTGGGCGTTATTAACGGAATAGTCCTGTTTTTCCAGTACCACGAACTTCCGAGGCAAAAGAGCTCCGCATGCCTACGGTGAATAATGCTCACCTACCCACAGCTCCATCAACACCTGTATCTCCACCTGCAAACAAAAACGTTACGGGAGCATGTTTTGGCATGTCTGAGGCTGTTTGTGCTCATTCTGTATCTTCCCACAGTAAAGCTCAGTCCTGAGCCCTGCACCTGACATTAACCTCGTAACCACTGCAGTTAATGTACCATGAGCCCTGCCTCATTAACAATCCCAAACTGAACAAGAATGGGGTTATAACATCCCCACGTCTCCAGACGGGCGGATACTGCGTGAGGACGGAGCGTTTCTGGGTCCCTCAACAGTTATAATCTCATCCACTCTGCATGGCCAGAAGGACGAAGACCCCAACCACAACAACAAATCAATACTCACTGCCCTCCCGCAGCCCAGAGGAATAAACTGTAGCTTATTATTCCAGATGTCCCACTATTTTACCATCACTTTACACATTTTTCCATCATGGAGCAGTTTTGAAAATTTGGTGGAGTTTCCCTTCAAGCTACTGTAGACTGTTGGGCTATGAATGAAGTGTTATAACATTAACAGATTGCTGTAATAGTTTAATTGAGAGCAAGACATTGGCTAGTCTAATTTTTTGGTTCAGTGACCAGACGTTCCTGTCTTTAAAGGCGACCATTACTTTATTCTTACCCACAATCCTTCTTCCCTAACATATATATTTGTTCTCTGCAGTGTTTCTGAGCAGAACCAGTGAACCTACACGAGTCTTCTGAGTTTATATGGAATGTTGATGATGGAAAATAGTGGAAAATCTGAAATAATAAGTTTTCTTTGGGGACTGTTTTGCCTCACAGCACCCTGCATGTATCCCTCCACCATGAATGGAGTTTAAGTTCTCTAAACTATCATAAAACAGTGTCTCAGTCATCAGGCAGTGAATTCATAACCATTTCATGTAATAACTTTCTGTGAGGGAGCTTTTAGAGGTGGGTGTCTGGTTCCTATCACCACCACTGTGAACAGTTCTAACTCAGTAAGTTTCTCTAGAACAGAGAACCACTCTGAAACGCTCTGTTTACATCGTAACCATTTTTTTCAGACATTTAGAAAAATGTAATTCCTCTCTGAGCTTAGATAGCTGATCTTTTTTTTTGTTCACTGATGATCTTAAGGCAGATTATTTATCTACTCAGTCCACAGACGGTCAGATTTAGACCACAGTCGTGCTCTCCACCACTGTGAATCTAGAACGGAGAGCCACCCTGAACGACTCTGTTTACATCTTAACCGTTTCATCACGCAGGACTTTTGAAAAGTCTGTGGCGTTCCCCTTTAATAACGACGCACACTCTCCGCTAATTTGAAGCTTTTTTCAGTTTTTCGGTCACATTTTCCGGCCGAACGAAACCATTAAGACAGCAAATGTGAAAGACAGAACCTGAACTCACCTGCGTGTGAAAATCAGCGTTTGGAGTGTATTTCGGGTTGAGACGGTGAGAGAAACCAGCCCGCAGCTCCACTTCCAGCAGCTCAGCTCAGCTCAGTGCAGCCACGGCGAGAGGAACGCACTGAACACAGTGGACTGTACCAAGTCGGCCTGCCGGGGGGGTTCCCGCCTATGGATATTCAGTATTAATCTTCTTGTGATCGGAATAGGAGAGCATATAATTTCGTATACAGAACAAGGTGTGAATATAAGTCTAGATTAATTATACTGTGCATTCTCAAAAACAGTCAAAAAAGTTAACCCAATAAAATCAGGCGCTCCCCCTACAGCCGTGAATATGTACAAACCCACTCCGGCGGTTTGAATGAGTAAACAAAAGGTGGACAACTCAGTTTTAGCCGTGAACAGAAACTGTACCTGCAAAAAACACCTGTAAAACATAGATAACACGTGTAGCTGTTCCAAAAGGTTCGTGTTCTCGTCTTCGCGTGACTTTATCCTGAATTTTCGATTGGTTTGTAAGAAGAGTTGGGCAGAATACTCGGAATACTGAATACAGTCTCCAATGTACTCAGTAATGTACTCCATTACAGTACATCGACAGTAATGGCTTCAGAATACATTTAGAACACATATTGATAACTCAGGCTTTAGCAGAGCTCAGTAACGCTGAGATTAATAACTGATCACATTGATTTATCAGTCTACTCAGGCTTTAGCAGAGCTCAGTAACGCTGAGATTAATAACTGATCACATTGATTTATCAGTCTACTCAGGCTTTAGCAGAGCTCAGTAACGCTGAGATTAATAACCGATCATCATATTGATTTATCAGTCTACTCAGGCTTTAGCAGAACTCAGTAATGTTAATTAATAACCGATCATCATGTTGATTTATCAGTCTACTCAGGCTTTAGCAGGAACTTCAGTGACTGTAAAGAAGCTGTTTCTTTCATGATGTGATTTTAAAATAGTTAATAAAAACATTGATCGTGTTTTTAAAGATTGCATCTGTTCCAGTTTACTGAGTGAGTATTCTAACATTATTCACCTAAACATGTAAAAGGTTACTGTATTCTAAATACATATTCCCAATATTCGTGTTCCTTTACATCCCAAGTTTATAAATGGTATTTATGGCTGTTCCCTCTTATCTTGTAGACTCTTTGTGGAACTGACTCACACTCTTAATCTGAAGGCCTCACACTGGACCCTTCAGTGGGGGAATTACAAAATTAGATGACCCACTGAATTAGCATCTCGCTGCAGTCCAGCAAGTGAATCACTTTATGTGGGAGGTTAAAGGAGAATGTTCTGCATGATTAGATGGTTAAGATGTAAACAGAGTTGTTCAGTGTGGTTTTCCGTTCTAGATAAACTTACCGAGTCAGAATTGTTCACAGTGGTGGTGATAAGAACCAGACATCCACCTCTAAAAGCTCCCTCACAGAAAGTTACTACAGGAAATGGTTATGAATTCACTGCCTGATGACTGAGACACTGTTTTCTGATAGTTTTGAGTACTAATGTATTTTAAGGTCCCCCCAAAAAATTTCCGTCATCAACATTCCATATAAACTCAGAAGACTCGTGTAGGTTCACTGGTGGTTCTGGATAGTAAATAAAATGTCTATATTTGTGTTGTAGTCATGGCGACCCCTGGTTCCTATCACCACCACTGTAAAGACATCTGAACCATTTCACACATTTGAATTAAAAGAGGTCCACGTTGTGCCAGTTAACATCCCTTACAATAAAATCCATCAATATAAGACAAAAACAATGTTTTGCTCACTGTTTCTGTATTACACTAATATTATGTTGCCTTTTCAAGCAGTTTTGGGCAAAAACAACTGTAATCTGTAAGCTTTTCTTGGCAGGACATAATCTAGGAGCGGATTAGTGCGATTAGAATTGGCTTGTCTGAGATTACACCAAATCAGGCCACCAGGCCCCACAGCCACACCCCTAATTAACCCCACTTTAAAAACATATAGTATTATTTTAACCCCTTGCAGAAATTAATGAAGAAAAGTGTAATTTTCTATAGTTCTTGTGGTGATACAGGTTTCCCTCCACACGTTTACTGTGTTTTACACATTTACATGATACTGATAAAAATCCCTCAGTGCGCTGAGATGGAGTCACTTCAGTTAGAAAAGAGCATGCATGCATACATCATCTAAACTGCTTATCCTTCTGGGTCGCGGTGGGGTGGGGTGCTGGAGCCTATCCCAGCTGTCATTGGGCAGAAGGCAGGATACACCCTGGACAGGTCGCCAGTCCATCGCAGGGCAGACAGTCAGACATACATATACAATCACGCACACATTCACACCTAGGGGCAATTTAGCATGTCCAATTGGCCTGACTGTATGTCTTTGGACCGTGGGAGGAAACCCACACAGACGCGGGGAGAACATGCAAACTCACACAGAAAGGACCCCGGTCGACAGCGCTACCCACTGCGCCACCGTGCCGCCTGAAGAGAAGGAACAGGTAGAAGAAAAGGAGGAGTTAAAGGGCTCATATCTTTATAAAACAGGGATTTAATCAGCTTTTAAATAAGAATTTGATGTTGTGTATGAAGTGTTCAAGCCCACATATGAAGAGTTCGCTGTTTTGAATTTATTGTTTCTGTTTGTCACATTTGCATAATCCTGCCTACAGCAGTTTAGCCCCACCCATTTACGCTGAAGCTGTAAGGAGTGTTTCAGACTGCTTTTCGACTGAGGTACAGCCAATCAGAACAGAGCTCATTTGTGTTTCTTTTAGAGCTGCAAAAGTTTGTGCACCCTTGTTCAGATTCCATGTTTTGTTGATTCTCTAAATGAAAATTTGTACAGAGACTAATGATGCATTTATAATGATAATAGAGCGCTTAAGTGTGTTCTGTGTAGAGGATGTGTTCACTGTACATCAGCCTTACAGGCACACTAATAAAAACAGCCTGTTTAATTCTAGGTGACAGTAAGACGTTCAGATGGTCATTCAGAAATGAATTATGACTGTTTTCGGAACCTAAAACCACCCGAGGGTTTTCCGTGTGCTCAAAGGAAGAAGCTAAAACAGAAGAAGAGTGTCGTCTACGGTCCCTTTAAAGACGAGCTCTGTACAGAGGAGTAATGAGGACTCCCGTCTGAGCCTTGCAGAGCGTCCTGGATGATGAAAAGGGGGTGTATGAGGGCGGGGGGGTCGTTAGGGGGGGATTAGACTCTTCTGATGGCCCCCCCCTGAAGAGTGCAGTGAGTCTTTCCTTACGCAGCCATGCTCCTGTGACCTCTGACCTCGGCTCAGCGCGCACTCTTTTCTCCGGTCGAGTCAGCTCCCACAGTTCAGTTCACTCTCTGCTTCCAGTAACGCATGACATCATCCCACAGCGCAGGGGTGGGGTACTAGATGAGCTGTTTTTATTCAGGCCCCCTCGTCACCATGGCGACGCGGCATTCCACAGATCAGCTGGGCTGGAGAACGTGCAGCAGCAGAGGTCCAGCAGTTCAGACTGCAGGCCAGGACAAAAGACTCTGGAAGGGCCGGTTTCCCGGATGCTGATTAGGCCAAGACCCGCACTAAAGCAGAGTGATTCACCACTGCCTTAGGTTTAATCTGGGTCCGGGAAACTGGCTCTCAGAGTCTGAGAGGTGGGTGGAAACCACCTGTTTACTCAGTTAGGAGCACTTAAAGGAAAGCAGTCAAGATTTCTGCATAATTCAGTGAATGGTCAGTCATTTTGGGCATTTATCAGACGCTCTCATCCAGAGCCACTTACAGTTTGATCATTGTACACAGGGGGGTGAAGGTGGTGTTCGGAGTCTTGCCCAAGGACTCTTATTGGTATAGTGTAGGGTGGTGACCCAGGCGGGGATCAAACCCCAGTCTACAGAGGTGTTACTCACTACACTATACCAACCACCAGTCGAGCGGTTTGATGTCAAATGTTCCGTTTTAGAGAACCTTACCAATCTGATGGCCATGGGACACAATACACACAATAGATTTACTGTGGTTCTCTGCATGGTGAAATCGTTCGTGAGACGGAGAATGTGTTGCAAATGGTTCTGTATAGCACCAAAAAGGGTTCTGCTATTCTTCCAAGCTTGACATAGTAACAATAAAAGAACCCTTTTTGTGCTATGTAAAACCATAAACAGCTCATTCTCCATCAATCTGAGGAACCGTTTCACCATGCAAAGAACCCTTTAATCATGCAAGGAGTTCTTTGAGTGTTCATGATTCTATGTAGAACCGTTTTCTTTACTAAAGAACCCTTGAAGAACCCTCTTATTTGAGAGTGTACTCTGTCTGAGGCTGTTGTGAAATGAGAACATTGTGGATATGAGGCGATCAGGCTGAATGTCCTCCTTTATTCCTGAGCGTGTGTTTTATCCTTTTCTGATCAGACTGATGGACAGACAGACAGACTGACACACCTGAAGACAAATAAACAGTTAAAAAGCAGTAGCAGCGAGGCGAGGCGAGGCTGACTCTGCACCACGCTGACATCATCACTCTCTCCTCCAGAGCTTCAGCTGCTTTGCCAGAACTTTGCATGAGCCGTGCTGACCTCCTGCCTGAGGGTCACGACTCCAGCCAGTGAAATGAGCGCTGAGCTGAACTCAGACAGACAGACGGGCGTCTCCCTTCACACGACTCTGCAGCGCTTCACCGTCTCTGATGGCCTGTTTTAGATGAATGTTGTTAAAACAGGACTCGTTTTCTCCACCATCACATCATCAGAAGTGGACAGAAGCGGTTCTACAGGCCGGTCACGCACGGCTAGCTGGGCTTTACTCTCACCACGTCTCTGCGATTAGCTGATCCGCTGTGAGGCGCCTGATTCGTCTCTCTCTCTCTTTCCCTCTGAGCGCTTTTCTTCTCACAAGAGGTTCATCTTCAACGCACACTGTACAAACGATTCAGTGATTTAACTTTAAAAGAGTTCACTGAGCTTCAAATACAGCGAACAGAGAGTAAAACACACAGCACTGTTCTGTTCACTCACTATTAGAAGATCAGTGGACTCAGAAACCAGTTTACTGACCCTTTAAAGTCAAAACACTGAATCATTTTTACAGCACATCTTCAATTCCTCCAGAACTTCCAGGGCCG